GGAGCAAATCCATCTGGCGGAGTCAGGTTGCCAGTAAAGCACATTCACATGAAAATTACTCTGAATTAAAAACACTGATCATTTATTGAACTTGAATAGTTGAAAAGTTGAATTCTGAATATGAGCAGACTTCTCCTTTAAAAGCTTTTCGCTCCGAGGCGCTCCGTCTTGCTTGCCTTGTTTCTTTTAATCGGCCACCAATCACAAAATCGGACCAGGCTGCGGCCTTAGATGCTGCCCTCACTTTTTGTTGTAATAAAAGAAAACAGAAGTTTGGAGACCAGGATCCGTTTTGGAATCTGTTGGAATCAAGACTGATGTGTTAACTTCTCTGAATAAAAAAGGATAATCTGATTAAACATAACATTTCAATGGTTTAATAGCTTCCAATTGGTCAAAAAAGAGGTCATGCTTTCAGTTTGACCTTCAGGTTCAATCATCCAGCGGTGAATCTTCATCAGGGCAGACCGAGCGTCTGCGTTGGTTAGACTGTAGGAATAATTTTATATTTAAAGTAAATTCAGAAGTTTGAATTCTGAAAATGACTTTTCCTTTAAAAATGGCAGCCGATCAGTCGGTAAAGCTAAAGTTTATCCTCTGGTTGTTCAGTTCACCTGCTTCTTCTGCTCTGGACCAACACCGACTTGCTGCTGAGATACAGGAGGCTCAGCTGAGGAAGGGTTTTATGGAATTTTAGGTGAATTTCAAGACCAAAAAAAATTAAAAACTTCATTAGAAACTTTTACATTTTTGAAGGAATCTGGATTTTTGGTGCTTCTAGTGACGCCTGGCTGTATTTTCTGTTTAAATGAAGCAGAGGAATAAAGCAGAGATCGACTGACGCAGGAGTTTTATGGCAGATTCTGGTTGTTAGGACTTTGGTCTGATGCTCTGCGTGGCTCGGCTCTGCAGGTCTGTTCATAGACTGGCGCTGGCTGGCCATCTGCTGCTCGCTGCCGCCGTCCCTCATGATGGTCGCCATGTGTTTCATGCCGGAGACGCCGCGGTTCCTGCTGTCCAGAGGGAAGCGGCGGGAGGCAGAGGAGGCGTTACGCTTCCTGCGAGGGCCGGATGCTCCTGTTGAGTGGGAGTGCGCTCGAATCGAGGAGGCAACCGAAGAACAGGTAAAAAAGGCTGATTTCAGCTCCTCCACCTGCTCGCTGTGCTAAGCTGCTTCAAAGATGGCTGCTCACACTCACTTCCTGCTGCTTTGCGTTCGATTTTCAATGATGGGATGTTTTCCTTCAGGGCTCCACTTTCCGGCTGTCCGACCTGAAGGATCCGGGCGTCTTCAAACCGCTGGTGATCGGCGTCCTGCTGATGGTGTTTCAGCAGATGACCGGGATCAACGCCATCATGTTCTACGCCGAGAACATATTCGAACAGGCACACTTTGAGGTAACGGCACTCCCGGCGCTGCATCACCGCCGCCGACACACGACAAGATGTTGGATTGTTTTTATCAGAAGTTTTCTCAGTTGCAACATTTCCTGGTTTTTCATCAGGAGTTTTGCTCCCAGTTCTCTGCAGAAACTTAAGAACAAAAACCCCCAGAAACCTTGGAGCTTCTAGCTGAACCACCTGTCACTACAGAAGAACAGATTAAACGGGTCACAGAACTTAAAGTGATGCGTTCTACAGTTTTAACACAAGGGATGCAATTATTGTAAATCCATTTAATTTCCCACAATGGGGAAATTCGTTCTCTGCATTTGACCCGTCCCCTTGGGGAGCAGTGTGGGGGTTAAGGGTCTTGCTCAGGGACCCAGAGTGGCGGCTGTGGGGATTGAACCGGGTATTTGCAACCTTCTCAGAGCACAGGCTCTCTGCTCTAACCACTAGGCCACCACTCCCCTGATGCGATCAATGAATCAATTTTTCTTAACGATAAATTGATAGGCGGCCATTTTCCCAAAAACATAAAGTTTCTCTTCTGTCAAGAAAATCTTCCCAAAACATGAAGGGTTAAGTAGATTTTTACAATATACTGTTTAAAAAAACAGAACATCATTATATGTTTGATTAACTCTGGCAGCAATACTTACCACTTGAGCTAGCGGTACTGAGGTAACGGGTGGCGGAGTGTGGGTGGGGTGGCGGGGTCATATCTGCGACACACGCGGACGACCTGGATTCTGAGTGTAGATAAAGCAGAAAGCTTTGAGAGACAGTTTGGTGTAGAAACTGATCCCAAACCAGCAGCAGATCCTCCCGCTCACTGATCCGTTGTTTTCCAGGAGAGCGACCTGGCCTCGGTTATCGTCGCTCTGATTCAGGTCATCTTCACAGCAATAGCAGCTGTGATCATGGACCGGGCCGGCAGGAAAGTTCTCCTCATCATCTCAGGTACGCTCACTCCTCACATGAATGACTGCTTAATAATGACGGTATTTAACCCGTCTCATTTCATTCCTCTTCTGCATTTGAACCTGTTAATAAGCTGCTGCGTCCGTCGGTATTTTTCCCCTTAATAAAGTTTTTTGTCCCTTCTTTAAACTCTTAAATGATGCCTCTGTCCTTCCAAAGTGTCCTGAGGCTTTTAAACAGAACCAGGCCTT